TTGGAAACCTTCCCAAATACTTGAATTATAAACATTTCTATAAAAAGGTAAAAGTAATAAAAACCAACTAAAAACTGAAAATAAAAAAAAATAATGAAAAAACACTTTCAAGATTTAAAAAATTATTTCCTTTCTCCTTTAACAGAAATGGTAGTCAACCTTTCACATTCAATGTATCCATTTTAGATGTGCCATAAAAATCTTCTCAATTCTTGTACAAATAGATCTTAATTCTTATATAAATAAGTCTAGCATGTTTTCCATAATTCATTAATAAAAAAAGAAAAGTAAATATTTGGGTTCATTTTGATTTCACTGAACTTTTGAATGTTTGAAAGACAATTACTTCCTGTGAGCAGCAAAGAATTCTTTAAATTCTGATCAATCAAGGTACAGATTTTAATCAATTTTATATCTGAAAATATCTGTTTGCATCTGTCAATCCAAAATGTCTGAACAAATTTTCTATATTCTAGAAAATATTCATAGGGTATAATGATTACCAGAAGTTAATTTGTTTTAAAGCCATCAAGTGCAATCTGTGTGTTACTAAGCAACTTAATGACCTTTTTTATTCACAAATGAAAATAAGTTATAAATGCAAGTATTTTGTTATCTTGTTTATCCATTGTTCATTGAATTTAGGTTTACTATCATTTTTGGCCTTTCTCTTGCTTATTTTTTCATTGGATTGTAATAGATGACTGAACTTTAAAAAAATGTAAAATATTTGATGAGAAATGCAACTATTTACAATTAATAAATAAATCACAACACATGTCAACTACAAACAGACAAGAAAAAACTGGCTACATCTAGTCATGCAATGCACCGCATTTGGCGCATACGTTGGCTGGAAGATTTTGTTACTTCTTAAACAAACTACTTAAACCAACTAAAAAAAAAAAAAAAAAGAGTAGAGTTGCTTCCCTTTAATTTATTATGGAATAATGAGGGAAAAAAAAAAGCAAAAAAAGCATGTTTTTATCAGATACAGCCTTCATCTGCCAATGGGTATTGCAATAATTTTGTTGCTACTTTTTCTGCATGAAATTTAATTATGGGAGAATGAATTGTTTATTTACTCAATGCCATTTTTCTCCAGGGGCTAGATGACTGGCAACAGAAAAAGGAAACAGAGTATTGGATTTTGACAAGGGCATCAACTGCATAAATGATGTAAGTAGTTTTAAGCAGAATTTGAATTTGGTTTGTTAAAAACCAAAAAGTAAATTTCTTTTTTGTGGTGTTTTGGCCTGTATGTTCTTTCATCTGCAAATTCTGGAAATTTAAAATACAGTAGCTTTCAACCAAACTCAAACTTGCATTTTCTACAAGGGAAGCTTGCTGCATAATGCTTATATATTTTTGGCAACTGAAACTATTGTAGCTGAGACCATTTTTTTAAATCTCTATTTCTACTTTCATTTTAATTACTTTATGACACTTTATCTTTATTAACAGTAAAAAAAAAAAAAAAAAAAAAAAAATATAAGCATCACTTAGAAAATTTAAAAGAGCAAAGAAATTAAAAGAAAATTTAAATAAAAAAAGTTACTAATTGAGCAAATATATTTTTCAAAGTTTTAAATTAAAAATAAAAGCTCATCTAAGATAGACGTCTATAAGAAACTAACACACATATGCATCTATAAGAAACTACTGAAGTGTTAGCTGAAAATCAGATAAAAAATTTTAAATTATTAGGGTCTGACGACGAGAGGCAAGTTTAATGAGCAAAACACATGGGGAAGAATAATATCAATTCTTTTGAGGGGAGATAAAAGAGGTTTGTCATGTGGTCACAGTCCTGGTACATGCCAATGATTCAAATCGGGTTTCACACAACTACAGAAGTAGAGAAAATGTTTGTCTGTCAAATAGTTGAAAAGTTCAAAAGATCACTAATAGAGATGTCAACTTCCACTGAGGGACGTTAAAAGACAAACCTGTGTAGCAGAGTGCCGCGAATGAAAGCCTTTTTCATAGCAACTCTGTAAAAATCATAATAAAAATAGCAGACAAATAAGACAAAAAGACATTTATTTTTATTACTATGATCCACAATAAATACACGACACAAGGGAGGTAACTAAGGATTTAATTATTTTGGAAAATTAATCTCTCAATATTTATACTATTTATATTCAGACTGTTGTTCTCATCTTTGTTATTAAAACGTTTCGGCTGTTGTGCCCTTTGGCCTTAATTGTGTATCGATCTAGATTAACTACAGGAAATTCTGAATTGAACCCTTTATTTAATCTATGGGGGTAAACTGTTCTTGTTCTATTCATGTCTAGGGATGTTGCTGAGTTATTTCTTTCTTTTTTCCTTTTTTATTTAGTACTGCCTAGTCATTGCTCACTTGTTTTCACTGAGTGCAAGGACACACTGCCTGACACAGAGATTGAACTCAAAATCACTGTCACCTGAAGTGAACTTGGATCTTGGACCTGAGGAAAGCTGGAGGGTACAACAGCCGAAACACCGTACAATGAAGATGAGGACAATTGTCCAAATATAAATAATGATACCTCCTCATCCTGGAACTTCAGACAGAAACAATCTCTCAATATCAGCATTTTTCAGCCCATGGGTTGGAATCTGATTTACATTGTTAAATTTATGCCTAATATTGAAAAACAATTTTTGTTGAAACAAATTGTCATTAGGCATAATTTATTAGTGTTTCTACTCATGTATTTAAAAAAAAATAAAGGCACTGATTTGTGCTTGCTACATTATGATGAATGGAATGATTAACTCTTTTTTCCCCCTCTTCATCTTTATAATTAGATTTGAATTTGTCTTCCCAATTTTCTGATAAAAAAAATACCTGAAGATGGAACTGGTGTTAAGACAAGTGGTTACCGAGTGTGAAAGAAGTAGAAAACAGAAGACATTATGAAAGAGTGAGAAGAATAGAAGACAGTAGATAATGATTGACATTACATTTGAATTTTTGAAGATCAAAGCTGCCTGGAAAGCATGGAGCTGGAAGAGAGTTCCACAAGCGAGAATTGTGAGAGAAGAAATTGTTAGGATAGAACATACATCAAGCCAATTAAACTGTAAATTGATGAAACCATGTTGCCAATCTTGTACTGTGTTAAAATTCATAAAGTCTACATACCACAGAGAACAGCTCATCCAAATAATTACCAAGAAAGTATCTATGGAAAAGACATAAAGAGGCAACTTTACAGCAGTGGGAAAGTGACTGAAGCTGAGATGCCAGATCAAGACCAATAATATTGCTGATTCTCCATTAAATTTTATTAAGAATCTTTGAATAACAGGAGCACTGGATATATATGTGGCAGCAATATTCTAAGCATGGTGTGAATGGTAGATTTGTAGATATGTAGCCTGACACAGTGAACCAACTTTCTTAACAGCTGGCCTAGTAATGAATTCGATGTAGCCTTTCTGCTTTATGTCATCTAAAAATGTTAACCCAAGTAAGTGCAACAAGTCACTTGCCTGGAGGTTAGCATCAGCCATGCTGGTGGAAAGCTTCTGATGATGATGATTACAGAAATAAGAAAAAGTAAAAGACCCCGACCCCTCAGTTGAGAACCCCTGGGATCAAGGTTTATATGATACCAGATACAGTAATTGAAGTTTTCTTTAAAATAAAAATAAAAAAATACAAGTTTCTAAATCTGTAAATAAATTTAAAATACGGAATTCTAAAGCAACCTATTTACTGTTTGCAAATTCAATTTAAAACATCCATTATACATATTCAGACATTTAATAACAAAACTTAATCTATGACAAATATATGTTCTTAAATAAATACAAACTATTTACGTTTGATCTAGATAGATGTGTGTGTATGTAGGCTCTCATGTAACAAAAATTCAATACAAATAATATTTATGCCGACAAGTATTTCACAAGTTATCTCCCTTGTGAAATACTTACAACAAAAATCGTTTTTCAAAAGGTTGATTTCAATTTATTTCGAAATTTTTTCAAAATAAAAGATGAAAAGTGCAAAGTAAATTATTTTAAAATGTGTCATGTTTCTTTAGGACTGGTGCGATCATAGCTCTCCACATCTTCCTTTTAATATTTATGTATTGCCATGCCTTTTTTTAGATACATGATCATCCCACACACATACACCTGAAAGCAGTATCTTTTTATTATGAATATAACAAGAATGATTGTTGAACCAGTCAAATATGTTACTTACGAGGCGCTCGGTACTGAAATTTTTACTTCCCAGATTCTGGCTAATTTTAGTGTTTTTTGTTTTTATTTCATTTTATCCAATGAATTTCAACAAATTTTAATTCAAATTGGTAATCAATAGACTTAAACAGGGAGAATCTTTTATGCAAAATTGAGGTAACTGGTACATCAGACAAGAATTTTCCAAACATTTTCCATCAACAATACATACTTGAAAATAGCTAATTGGCTAGATGTAACCCTAAGTTCTATGCTAACAGCTTTTTTTCTCTCGCACTTCTCACTTGTGGAACACTCTTCTGGCTCCATGCTTTACAACCAATTTTGATCTTCAAAAAGTTAAATACAATGTCAATCATTATCTACTATCTTGTTTCTTCTTTTATTGTTCTCACTCTTTAAATTATCACACCAGTTTGAAAATCTTTGATCTAGACTGTACACAACCAATATTTGTTCCTGGCATAATTTGATAGTACTGTAATATTAAATTGTAAATGTTGAGTTTTCTCTGCCATCAAACATGGTAATACTGACACTTTATATAATTTAAACTCAAGTTAAAAAAAATTAGATACATCTACCTAATAATGTGTAGCTTCTTCCTTTACCTAAATTAATACGTAAATCATCTGACTCTGTTTTTACAAGTCAGGGAGGGTAAAGTCATTCAGTGTATTGCTGATCCTAATTTTTTGGCACTTCAGTTTATATTCTGAATTTTAAACAAAACAATAATAAAGGATAAAAAAATAATAAAAATGAAAATACATTTTGAGCTAAAGTAAACTTACCTCGCAGCTGGCGAGTGAATCTTATCAGTTGATACCTCTTCGGATGTCACCTTACTAGTCTCAACAGTTTCTGTGGAACAGACACCTGTACCTGGCAAAAAAATGTTAAAGTTAGCATTATTTTAAAAAACATTTAATTTTTCTTTGAGAGTAATATTTTTCACAAGTCAACTGTCATTAAAGTGAAAGATCATTATCAGTGACAAGACAGGTTATAGTAAATAATTTGCAATGCATTCCTATAGTAAAATCATTTCCAATGAATTTCTATCTATGCTTTTAGTATTTGCTATGTCACTATATATGTAATCATTAGAGGGAATGAAAGTTTGGATGGATTTGTTTAATAAATCCTATCAGTGATAAGACAGCTTACATAAATGGCTAGTAAATAATTTGCAATGCATTCCTATAGTAAAATCATTTGCAATGAATTTCTATCTATGCTTTTAGTATTTGCTCTGTCACTATATATGTAATCATTAGAGGGAATGAAAGTTTGGATGGATTTGTTTAATAAATCCTATCAGTGATAAGACAGCTTACATAAATGGCTAGTAAATAATTTGGCTAGTAAATCATATGCTTTTTAGTATGTCACTATATATAATCATTAGAGGGAAAGTTTTGATGGATTTGTTTAATAAATTTCCAATAAGACAGCTTACATAAATTTCTAAATCTATGCTTATTAAAATCATTTCCAATGCTATGTCACTATATATGTAATCATTAGAGGAAATGAAAGTTTAGATGGATTCGTTTAATAAATCCTGTTAGTGATTGGTGATTCCTTAGTATCTACACAATTAATCTCTTAATCATATCTAATTTAATTGAAAAATATTGGGAGTTGATCATTACTATGGAAAATAAAATTGGCCAAAATTGCAAAATAGACTTTAAATACACAAACTTGGCAGACTGGCATTGCTGTAATATCCAATATGTTAGAACTAAATCCATCAATTTCTTGCTTCAAACTTGTAACCAGAGCAAAGAATGGTCTGCAAGGTTTCCTGAACATTGATAAGTCTATATCTGATTGTTATATTAATATTTGATTAGTTATTTATAAAAAAAATTGAGAGAAAAAAAAAAAGCGATAAAGAGAGAACCTGTTATGTTGCTTGGGCTACTTTAATAGTGTATACTCCTCTATGGCCAATTGGTATTGTTAGACTTGATTGTAAACAAATGCATATGTATGGCCAGCAAATTCTGGTCAATATATCTGGAAATATGTCTAATATCTCACTCTTACTATCAGGTGTTACATTTCATGTATGAAACATACATTCCCAAGCAGTCGCGCATTTAAATAGTGACCAGCTCAAAGTTGCTTTGGTGATTGTATGAGAACTGGTACATATGTTTTGAAATCAATACCCCAGAAAATAATGGGAGGCATTCATAACAGTGTCATTTGCCTCAAAACTGGCTTCACTATAACTTAAATTGAATCTACACTTCGTCAAATGATGCCTTTCACCGAAAACTCAAAAGTTAGAATATTAAAGGGGGATAACTTTTATATCTGAATGTATTTATTATTCACAAGGATCTCCTTGATTATGCACAAATTTTGTTGTTTGTTTATGATAATGAATAACTTTTTCTCCATAAATTCATCACTGACGTCTTCATTCACGTAATACTGTTATTTAATATTTTGGTTCTATTCTAGGAATATTTAAAAACGAATAAAAAATTATAAAAAACTAATTTAAATATTTGTCATATCCAAAATACATTTGTAAATAAATATTTAAAAAGATTTTCATTGTTAATTCACATTACATTTTTTTTTATTTAATATTTGTATTTTAATCGTTTTTTTTCTTTATATTTTATTTTCTTTGCCCCCCAAAAGACAATTTCCAGACTTTAAAAACTGATTCCACCATTAAATAATGCTCTTAAACAAACCGACTTGTCACTCATTCATTATCATGAATAAGCCAGAATTAAATTAACAAGTACAATTTTTAAAATGATACATAATTGAAGGAAAGCACCATTCACATAACAGTTATCTCCCTTTAATCTTATGTTTTGATTTTTAAGTGAACCATTTGACAAAGTAAAAAATTGATTTAACAGTTTTGTAGAAGCCAATTTATTTTCAGTTATAAACCAGACCAATCTCATATATAGTGTATAATTAGCCTGTATAGACTATTAGATGAATTATTGTCAGCCATTATTATTAATTTTTGACTAAGATTTACTTGCATCTTCAATTCTTATGAGATGAACTATTGTCAGCCATTATTATTCATTTTTACTAGTATTTACTTTCATCTTCATTTTCAGTTACTTTTTATTAAAATTTCATTCAGGCTATCAATTGTATAGCAGTGTGTAGACGTAGATTGTTTGAAAAGTTGAAGGGACAGTCATACATGTACAAGGTCTGAAGAGAAATACTTGGAAGGGAACTAAGACACCATTTACTGCCTTAAGTAGGTTATTTTTTTTCATTAATACTAAATAGCTGGATATTTTCCAGCCAGACTTTGTACAATACAGAGAGTTAGCCAACAATCTAAATGTTTATTGTTGATTTCACCCTCGCCACTGTTTTAGAAATCAGAATAACATTTGCCATGATCTGTAAAATAAATTAGATTGAGTTTAGTTTAAATAGCAAATGTTTTATTTTCATCTAAACTGTGGAATGTATCAAAGGAGTGGAAAAATGTGATCTTCTAAACAACTTCTGGTGACCTGAAAATAAATCAAAAAAAGGGACATGAAATAAAGACACCAGACACACAAGAAGCTGGAATGCCATGACAGTTTCAAATCTCTGGGAATGGAATTTAGAAGGAATTTTATATGTTTTACTAAGACCAGTTTTAAATTTCTGAACATTTACTAAAAATTTGATATCTTTTCTTGGAGAAAAAAAAAATGCCAGGGGGTTAGAAAGTATGGAGGAAATTGCAGACAATTTTACAGAACAGCCTGACATTAACATGAGTCAGAGTAGGTGGTATGGTGAAAGATGAGAAAATAAGGGCTTGATATATACTAGATTATATATATGAGAAGGGATTAAATCAGACATTTTTATTTTTAATTTATTTTGTTTAAACATTATATTTGATAGATACTCATGTTCCAGAAATAGTTCTGTTTTTTAATTAAAAAGTATTTTTTATCCAACTACATCTACCAGTCTCAATATTAGAGAAATCTTGTCAGAAAAATATACGTCTTCCGACAGGATTCAAATCTGCATCCTCTGTGGGTAACTCTCATTGGATCTGATGTGCCCAACTGTTTGGCCACGTTGGACTTACAGTCAAACAAAGCCTGAATAGTGCTTTTGAAAACACACACTCTGCAGATTCTCAAAAGATCCATATCTGATCTGTTTTGTATCCTAACAAATAAAAACAATTAGAGGATGTATATTTTTCTGACATGATTTCTCGAATATTCAGACCAGATGTAGTTGGATAAAAATACTGTTTAATTAAAAGACAGAGCATCTACTTGAATATGATTATCCATAAGAAATAACATTTAAACAAAATAATTAAAAATGAATAATTATTTATTTGAAAATTATAGCATAAAATGTTATAAAATCACTAGAAAAATAGCCATTTTGTAGTGATTTTATAACATGTTTATGCTATAATTTTCAAATAAATAATTATATTTGCTCTACTCTGTATTGGGCACTCTTTTAAGAATAGTATTTGTTGGTTATTGGAATTTATTCCATATACACCAATCCTATACTTGGTTGTGTGCTTTATATATATATATATATATATATATATATATATATATGGGTGGAATTTGATACATAATTTTTTTCTTATATATATCAAGAACAATTTTGTGTTTTGTCCTTTAGAACTTCATCGGACTAAAGTGATGTTTATGTTGATGTGATTGCACACAAAGGAAAAGGGATACTGAGAATTTTAATTTTAATTTCATTTTTTTAAAACATGTTTTGGGTATATGATGTGTTCGGCAGAAGAGAGGCATATTCAACATTTGATAATTTTGTGGCAATATGTTCTTGAAGGTTTTAGGCAGTTTTGATCAACATTTCCTTTCATGGTTCAACATAAAGAATTTTAAATGTAGGACAACCTTACACTTAATAAATATTATTATTGTTATTATTTTACTTAAGAATTTATTACAGGAAATATCAGGTTTTAGGGAAACATTGTTGATAATTATTTAATTACATAACAAATAAATAAAACTAATATAAATTTTGATGCTATATTCGATTTGTTGTTAGGTATTTTTCATTTTTTCTCCTTTGTTATTGGCAGCATTTTAGAATACTTTGGCTGTAATGCTAAGTTAACTAAGTTGAACAAACTGGAGCTATTTCGTTTACGCTTTGTTACTTCTCTTTTCCATTATTGTTTTTAGATCACTTTCTTCCAGTCATTTTACTGGGCAGTAGTGAAATTCTGAAATTTAAAATGAGCTTATTCCATTTAAAAAAATAAAACCTGTAAAAAAGGAATATTTTAAATTAATATATAGCCAAAAATAAAATACTTTTAACAAAAAACCTTAATGATTTCAGTATAATTATATAACAATAAAGTAATGATATTCCACAGACAAATGTATGGTTTATGTTACCTCATCTCATTGCATGGCTACAAACTATTATACCTAAATTGGGATTGAAATAATGTATAATTGGCTCTAATTTTTGGTAAAATACTTGGATATGATATGATAAATAATTTGCAGTGAAAAAAGCAATTTTCAATTTTTTTTGTTGTTGAATAAGCCCCTTTTTCTCCAAATGTGTCATAGTCTAGCCAATTCCATTCAGTTTATTATTTGCTTGTTTATGTTTCCATCACTTTTATTATTAAATATTCCACATTGTAATAACACAAGATCTGACAAGAAAAGTGAAATATTGTAAGAATCTGGATGTAAATTTACTGTTCATTATCTTGCAATTAAAGCACTTTCTGAACATTTGCATCTTGGTAAATTGCTTTTTCTTTTAATTTCTTTTCACTATTACTTTATTATGATAAATCTCATAATAAAAGCAATATGAAGAGTGTATTGCACCAGAGTGTTGGGATAAAAAGCAACAATAATAAGATGGAATAAAACTAGTAATAAAATCAAAAAGAGTTGGTAGTTTGTTAAAATAGGATGAAAAGCAGATACAGATGTGCTAATTTGTGTGAGTCAGTTCCAGAAGGAAAGAATGTTTTGGAAGTGCCAAATTCCTAACAATGACTGCAACATTAAAAAAAAAAAAAAAAAAAAAAAACAGAAAGAGGAAAAACTTTCTCATTTTGTAAATCATGTTTTCTTTTTAAACTCTAACCAACCATTGCAAAAACAGCTGGAATCTTTATTTTTCTAAAATGTCTCTCTGGAAAGCACAATTCCAAGACGATAGTTCTTTGTATGAAATAAAATTGTATTTGAACAAATTTAAATTATTGTTTTTTTCTTCTTTTAATGATAATTTTGAAAAAAATTTCCTCCAAGTTTTCAGCTTAGCACGTTACTGAGTTAATATATTTTGTATTTATGAATTTTAACGTTACTCTGAAATCATTTAAAATTTTTTTTTTTTTTTTTTAAAATCCTGTATCTCATTGTAAATTCTTTGGAGCACTGCACTCACAGCAATAACCAGTCTGCCTGAAAAAAGATAACCTGACATGAAACTCATTCATTTTCAGGCTGGAATTTGAAATCATTTATTCTTCTGGAAACCCTACCAATACTAAAGCATTTCATCTGTTAAGAATTCATAATGTCCTCAAGAATGGAAGTGTCAAGTGACCACAATGACCTCATCCATAACTTTTTTCCACAATGATAAGCATGATGCCAAAGTTAAATACAAATTTCTGTGGTGTATTTTGGATTCAAATAATCTTTACTATAATTTACCAAATATCTTTGTCCATCTGTCATCCTGTAAGTGAAGGTTAATTAAATCTGTAGCCACCAATTTATTTTATAGTCACTAATGGGGTGTTTTTTTAAGCATTTTAATTTTAGAAAATTCCAAAACAAAGTTTTTGATGAGGGGGATCAATTTACAATGCAAATATAAAGCAAATTGACGAGGGGTTTGATTGCAACTGGGCTGCTAAACTGAACACTTACTAAACAAAATTTCTATTCTTTGGTTTAACGATATACATTAAACTTTAACATTCCAGAGGTGATTTTGCTAGCAAAGCAAAAATTTTATCCTACCACTACAATCGACTCAGATGAATGAATGATAACATGTTTAAATTTTGCAGTTGTGTTGTCATATCCTGCTATGGCAACAGAAAATGACCATAACTGAAATTAAGTAGTGCAGTAGAGGAGCCTTCAAAAACAATGCAGTGGAAAGGAAAGTAGTGAATAATGCAGAGTGTTAGAGGTTAAATATACATAGGTTACCAGCTTGCAAATTTTCGATTAAATTATGATTTAACTTTCTATGACATAATATAAATTATAACAAAGAAAAAAAAAAGTTACACATAAGTGACTAATCTAATAAAGAAATTAATTCACCAATGAACTAAAACAAATAAACTAAAAAAAAGCAAAAACTCAAAGATATATTTTTTAAATTTTTTTTCTGATTTTTTTTTTTTTTTTTTCTTTTGGACAAAATGCTTGCATAAAATGGACTTTTGAATGTGTGGGTGAGTAGAATAATGATTAATTATATAGCAAGTGTAATTGGGGTGCTTAACTCAAAGCTTATCCTGTTGCATTCACTTTCATGCAAACATCAGTGAGGAAAAGGCACGAATCTATTTCTTCTTACCCTAGTTATATGGGTTGAAAAAAAAAGAAAAAAGGTCAACGGTGCTCTCTATCAGTGGATGGTAACCAATCTAAGAGAAGGAAACTGAATTTAAAACTGTAGAGAAGGCAATGGGGAATCTCTCCATTATCATTACCCAAAAAAGTCATGACAATTCACAGATAAAGTGAAAAATACCTGAGGAGAACCATGATCAGCTATGTCCCTTAGGAACATGGCATTTAAAAAAAAGATTTGAAATAACTAATTATTTTGATTAGGATAAATATTAATTCTTAATTTTAGTATTGTTCTCATTACAAATTTCTCAATATCTTTCAGTCATTAAAGTAGGAGATATGAACAGATTTAAATATAAGTCACACAAGTAAAGCTATTTGTATTTAGAGTTGAAGTCTTTTCTTCAGCTTATTCTTGCTTTTTATACCAACTTTCTCGGTTGAATCCTTTCCAACCATTAAAATAAGTCATGTGAAATCAGAGTGGTGGCAATATGACTGTAGATTTGGACAGAGTCACACCACTGAAGTTATTTGAATTCAAAGATGAAGTATGTGCTTTTTATCACAACTCTTTAGATTAAATACACTCTGTTTATATGCATTTCTATTTTGACCAGCATGCTTATGTTGGTTGTTATACTTTCTCAACTTTTCAGCTATTGTATTCAGTAACCTTCTCAGAATTTTGAGCTAAATCCTTTATTCAATCTAGAGGGGAAGCAGGGGTATATTACTCTCATTCTGCTTTCCTTGCTTAGCAGGTTATCTTGCATTAATTAATTGCTGTCTAGTTTATTTCCTTCTGTTTTAGCTTTTGTCCATCTCTTCTACTGAAATTACTTGGTCGTTTTATTCACGTTGTTTTGGCTGTTATACACTTCAGCCTTCTTCAGGTTTTTGTTTCTGTACTGCATAACTTTCCCAGGATTTTGAAAACTAACACTTTATTCAAACCATGGTGATGGATTGTTCTCATTCGGCTATGCTGAAGTGATATGTCATATCAGTTAATATTTACCGATTCACTTTTGACTGGTATTGATAAAAAGCCACATCACCGGCTACAGTTGAAGAAACAGCGATGTGACACAAAGGTGAATAAGTGAGTATTAATGGATATGAAAAAAGAAAAAAAAATGGCTTATGGCCATATCATGTTCCCACACGACAGTTGTTACCAAATGGTGCAGCGTGTAGTAGAAGAGGATAGCAGGTGAGGCAGAATGATTGAAAGATAATCAAAGACTTAGAAACAGTTTCAAAAAATTCATATGCCAAAAATAAATATCATTTCAAAATTTAAAATAATATTCATCAGTCCCAGTATAAATAGTAATAAGTAATTATTTACCAGTTTTATCATTTTGATATTTTTGTATTATATCAAGTATTAAGAATATAGTAACTAGTGTTCGCAAATTGGAGGAGAGAGTTATCAATGATGCTGAAGAAAAATAACTTAGTAATAATTTTTGGGAACTTACCACTGAGTGACGGATCACCTCTTGTTTCTGAAATGAAACAAAAACAGATTTTTATTTTCTAAAATAAGAGAAAAACGACAAAATAATTCATAAGCAAACATGTCAGTTTTGAAAAAAGGCTTTACTGTATGTCACATTGCTATTTAGTATTTACTAGAAAGACTCAAGAAAATTCCAAGGTTTTCCTAATTCTTAAATTAATGATTGAATAATTGGCAAGTTCTATGACAATAAAATATCCATAGAAACTCTATCACATCTTTAAATATTTGAGCTTAACAACAAAATATTGCAATAACAATCATAAATATGAATGCTAGTTATTATTTTAAGTGGGTACAAATGAAAAAAATTTTTAAATTGACAACTTTTCCATTTTATTAAAACAACTGTTAAACACTTCTATCTTTCCAGCAATGATAATGGGATAGTCCATTATTTGAGATATAGGCAGGGCATGTTACAAATTTCTATCTTCCCTTCTTTCATTTTCTCACTGAAACCAGCAGGCTCTTTTCCTCTCTTTCTACTTATCCAAAACAGAATAGTCCATTATTTACGAGCTATTGGCAGGGTATAATGATTGCACAAATTAACAAAAGGAGAGACAATCACAATTATTATATAATTATTATTAATAATTTTTTCCTAGGTTTCATTAATATTTTTCTTTTTTTTTTCTTTTATCCATCATAATATGAAGGGACACACTGGAAAGTTTTTAACCTAATCAAGAAACCCTTACAGTAAAAGAAAAAAAGGATCTTATTAGAGGTAAAAAAATTTAAGCTATGCTAAAAAGACATAAAAAAAAAAACAAAGAAAAAAAATCAAACTAGAAAGAGAAAAAAATGATTACATCTACAATAAATTACAATGCAAAAACAAAGAAAAAAAATTTATAGAAGAATCAGCTAACTGGTTTTGTTAGTCTCTTTCATCAGAGCATGATTAAGAAATTAAATGTAATTCCTCAATTCAGCCCTTCCTTTTTAGTCAGTATGAACAATATTTTAATTCTTCAATACAAATCTGATGAGAGAGAAATGAAAACCTGTCAGCAGCCAATTCTATAAATTCATTTTTCTCTGTGTATTATCATTTATTGTAGCTGTAGTTTCTTAACTTTTAGTTTTTTTTGTTCCCACTTTTTTCTTTAAATATTTTTTTAGCATTTGAAAAAAAAAAGTGGCCCAATTTCTTGAAGTAGGTCAAGCTGAGAACTTTTCAGCAGCTTATTATAGATGTAATTTGAAGCAATATTCTAATTATAAATTTTTGACTAATTTCACTTTCATCCTATTTTTATTGTTTTTATAAAAACTCTTAAGTCATTTGAACATTTATTATGTGACCATTAAATAAGCCACATGGATTTGGGGACAAAATTCATTCTGTTATGCTTCACATCACATCTTTGAGAGTCTGTAAAAGTGATTAGGGTTAGGAAAGAGAAAAGGATATCAATCTGAGGATTGCAACAAAATGAAGGAAAAAAAGAAATTCTATTTGGCAATGTTTCAAATTAAAAATACTATTACATCCTGATTAGTGTAACTAAAAGCAGGAAAATAAAGAGAGGGAACACAAGCATAAAAAAAAATCCATTTAATATACCTAGTGTAATAAAAAGTGAAAGAAGATGAAAAAAGTGAGTTGAAAATCAATAATAACTGACTTTACATCAGCTAAGATACTCAAACAACTTAAGTCAAATTTTTATTTTAATCCTTTCACATCAAGTAAGGCAATAATGCCACTAAGATGCAAGGACTTACTGGGAATGAAAGAGAAGGAGAAGACTTTAGTGAGAAAGGACAATAAAAGAACAGCTTTCAGGAAGACAGAAGATGGCAATAATGCCACTAAGATGCAAAGGCTTACTGAGATTGAAAGAGAATCAGAAATCTTTAGTGAGGAGAAAGGACAATAAAAGAACAGGATTCAAGAAGACAGAAGATGATGATTGATATTACATTTGAACTTTTGAAGATTGTAGATGGCAGGGAAGCAAGAAATCGGAAGAAAGTTCCACAGGCGAGAAGTGTGAGAAAAGAAACTATTAGCATAGAACTTATGGTTACATCTTGCTAATTCAACAGTAAAATGATGAGACCTAATTGCCAACCTAGTAGTATGTTTAAATTCATGTGGTCAAGGTACCAAATAGGAAAGCACATTAGAACAAACGCCATGAAAATATTTATAGAAAAGACAGAGGGAAGCTACATCATGGCGATGGGAAAGTGACTGAAGTCGAGATGCCAGGTCAGGACCGATAACATTACAGATCCTTCTTGGGATTTTGTTGAAAATCTTGAGGAGCACCAGACCAGACCAGACCAGACAGCAACATTCAATGTGCAAGATGGATTCTGACAAGAAAAATTGTCTGACATGACACAGTGAACCAACTTTCCTAGCAGCAGACCTAGCAATTAATACATTATAATCACTCCACTACTAATTAACCCATAGTTAAGGGAGGAAAAGAGGTGGAGTCATATCTTTCCCAAGGGTATTTGCATGTAAGTGAATATAATGAATACAAATAGAATTGGAACTCTGCTTTCTGATTTACAATTCCAAGCAGTTACCTATTACACCACCTGCACATCCAAGCTTACAGCACCTGGTATTACTGAAGCAGTCATCCATCTAAGTAATAACCATGTTCGATACTGCTTAATTCTGGTGATTGAAGAAATGGTGTTTCAATGTGATATGGCCATAAGCCTTTAATATTCAGGAAATATTGAACACAAATGAGAAAATACAGAACTAGAAAGTTTTCTGATATTGTCCTGCAAAATTAGTAAATATTGGGTCACTTTTTGGATGGCACAGGCAGCATTATAGGCATCTGGTTGTCAAAAACACAGCAATTCACAAATAATAAAAAAGGATGCAGTGGAGAGCCATGATTGCCTATGTTATAAAGAGAGAAAGCATTTAAAAATACCTATAACATAAGTGTGATTGAAGTATTATCGTTATTTCATCAATTATTTGGATTGGTATCATAATCTTTGTTGTTTTGATTACAATGTTTTGGCTGATGTGTATTTTTGTATGTTTTATTTCCTCAGTGGTATATTGCATCCAGCAATCCTTGGACGATGAAAAAAAGAAAAAAAAAAGAAAAAAAAAAAGAAAAAAATGTGCATATTAATTCAGTTATAGAATAATCACGGGTTATTTTTTTAAGAAGTTCCTTTTTTCTTCACCACCAATTTAGGGAAAATAAATTTGCCATTCTCTTCTATATTTTAGATCTCAGAAAAAAAAACAAAAACAACCTCAACCTCACAGAAAATGCCATTTTGAATATTTGGCAGAGATCTCTAAGGTGTCGCTGCCAATGAGAAGTGGATGATGTGTAACTGAAGGTTAAAAATCAAATCTATTTCTCAAGTTTATTCTTGTCTGGAACTTTCTAAATTCTGATTTTTGTCCAAGAGTTTTATTTATTTATTTAAAAGCCGGAAGTACTTGGGTCTATATCAGCTCTGGCTATAAGCAAAGAAGATGCAACCTAATAAAGTGTAGAGTCTAAAATAACATACCTTATAGAGGAGAACAAAGTATGGCAGAATATGTATGTGTGTGTGTGTGTGTATATAATTTGGTAGGCCTGTCATGGGAATAATTACATCCCTGCTGGCATGACCTCCGCCCTAAAACCTTTTACAGAATGTTGCATACCAAAGTTAAGGTTGGGTCAGAGAGAGAAAGAGAGTGAGAGAAAAAGAAAAGAAAGAGTTATGTTAAATATATTTAGATCTTGAATGTCACTCCCCCATCACTTGTCTGCTTCCCTACCCTAAACAAGAAGGAAGTAAAAAAATAAGTCTAAATAAAAGAATAAATATGTTTAAGATATAAGTATACAAATATTATATACATAAACAATAATAGTGTCTCAAGTCACAAAATGGTTTGTAACACAGCAGAAAATGGCAGCGGATATAACTTCTGTAATAATGTAATTAAGGTCAGCAAAAGTGAAAGCCCAAACTGTGTGTTATATATTCTACTTGTGTGTGTCCCCATGTTACTTGAGGATGTGGGTGATTATGGCTCAACACTACTTTTTATTCCTTGAGACCCTTTCACCTTCTTTGCCAAGCCTCCTGCCCTCCATCCGACTAGCCATTCACAAAAGGTCACGTTTGTGGCCCACTGCCTTCCTCTATCTGCCATGTTACATATTTTAGGGATGTCAAAAATGAAGTGGGTACTGATGTTTAACAATCTGGGGTTGTAGTAACAGACAATAGAAAATGTGACAGAAACCTGAAGGTAGATAATAATAATAATAATAATAGTGAAAGAAGTCTTCTGAACTGGGAACAAACCTCTACTCCTGTTCAAAAGACTGGGGAGGAGCATGAACCGGATGATAGGCAAGCCTATCTGCTCCTATTAATTGCATAAACACCCTATTTTCTTATTAGCAAATGCCTTAAAATCATGATCATCGACAAGAGCTTTCTTCTTGTTTTTTTTACAACATACATTTTTATGAAACTTGTTCAAACAAATTTAGGTTAAAAAAAAAAAAAAAAAAAAAAAAAACCTGCAAAATGTAGTGCTTTACTATCGAATTATTTTTGTTAAAACCAGCAAAATGGTGGGAGTTGTAGTGTATCAATATGGCTGGTGGGTATCCTAAACAAAACTGGAGACTTTCTTACGTATATTGGGTCAATCTGAAGTCAGTGTTAAAATACCCCTGTAATTTCGTTTTTTATAGAATTTGTAACGATTTGAGTGAATAATACTTTAGACATATTTTTATAAAAATATCTTACTCATGATACATAAAAAGGTAATAATTAGTGTGATTAATTTTCTGAGAAGGGTTTTATAAATAGGGAATTCTTTTTTTAAAAAATAAAAAAAAATATTTTTCAGGCTTCATCTCTGATTACTCAGCTCAGTATAGACTAATTCATTCAAAAATTTTCTTAGCTTTAACAAAATGAAGGTAAAACTCTAAATTTATATATAAAGCTGATACCTCATTTTTAAAATACAGACAGAAATTACTTGGTTTAGTTTTGTTACCGAGACTAGAAATGGACTAACTTTTTAACATCAATCATATTCTATTTACATTATTTGGACTATTGTCCTCATCTTTGTCACCATATTTATTACAACGTTTCAGCCGTTGTATGCTTCGCCCTTCTTCAGATGGTTGGAATGTCGAACTGAACCCCTTATTTCGCTCACTGGGGTAGACTGTTCTAGTTCCACGTGCCATGTCTAATAGATATCAGTTATCTCCTGTTAATTCCCCTCCGAAAATTCTCCACTGCCTTAACCAGGTATTGAACTCACACACTTTGGGTCCTGTCACTGGATCTAACTAACGCTGTTATCCACTGTGCCATGTGTCCTTTTGAACAATAGTCTGAATAATGTAAATAGTGTACATGATACCTCATCTCAGAAATATAGACAGATAAATCATATTGTTTGCCAAAATGTTATTTGCATCATCAAATTTCGACAGATTTACTAATGACTTGGCCCTGACTATTAAACTCAAACCTGGACCTGACTATTAAACTCAAACCTGAACCTGACTATTAAACTCAAGCCTGGACCTGACTATGATTTCATAAACATTTTTTTTTTTTTTTAAATATCATAAGATCGTCAATAAGCACAAGTCTTTAAAACCAATGTACTTTTTAAATATAAAGAGTTTAATTTTGTTTTTATTTTTATTAAGGAGTGGGACAAAATATCCCAACAGTATTATTATACAGCAGAGAAGTGGGATTATTTACAGAAATTAAAAACTGGTATTATTAACAAATATTTTCTTTGGAAAAATAACCGTTGAACTTAAGTTAATACCATGACATGAGTCATTACCAATCCAAGAAGTGTTTGTAAAATTCAGCTCTTTCTTTTTGTTGTTACCAAAGACTCTTTGGGCGTACAATCTATTTAGTTAGATGGCAAGTGGATATTTGCTACCATCTGGTTTATACTATTGAGGAAAAAAGAAATTTTGATATGGATTTCACAAGGCATTTGTAGAATGGATTGTTTAAAACATTGGCTGTAACAACAAAAGTAGCATAAAAAATGTTATATTAATAATCTGAACAATTAATGGAAATTTGAATTCAAGAGGAAGAAATGGGCCTTCCTCTTCCACTCTATATAGAAAAGCATAGGTCACTTTTTATTTTGTTGTGTAAACCAGAATATAGTGGCAAATATACTAATGCAGCCAATTCTATAATATGCAAGACCACTATAAAATATGGCAAGCCCAAGTTCTTGATTTATTTTTGGGAGTGATGAGCTAAGGAATCTATACTTGCTCAACTTGTATATATCTATCCAAAAATCTAATGTACATAACTAAGAGATAATTAGCTAAGTATGAACTCTGTTAAGATCTATAATTGTCACCAGATATTTAAGGTTTTAAACAAAGTGCTTAATAAGAAACATCTTCAGATGTCATCTAACCAACACCTTTATCCACTGTGCCATGTGTCCTTGAGGCAATTTTGGTAATTGTTTATTTCATATAAATCATGTTACAATATAATTTATATTTGCTAGATTTTCAAAATAACTATTAAAAAAGTTCAACACTGATTACTTCCCTTTACTCCAACGATGTGATCTAAATACTAAGGTGGTTACCACTTTCAGGGCAGAAAATAAATATTTGAATAACTCAGTGTTTAATTAAAAAATTATCAACAAAACAATCAGTAATTATAAAGCATACAAAATGCCAAACAAATAAAGTTAAATTAGTTATCTCTATTGAACAAGAAGAGCTAAGTTGGGTCAGATATAAGACACATACTGGCAGATATAAATGATAGAACCACATTTGTTTGATGCCTCACTGTCTTATGCAAGGTTTACGAACACACAGGATATTTTTTTTTACTTTTAAGGGCATATTCACAAACTTTGAGCTTTATATATTAACTAACAGAAATCACATTACTAATGTGACTTATTTCTAGTTTTTGTTTTATTTCCCAACAAATATCTGGGTTTCACATTATTCAACTCCAATTCAGGGAAGGAGAGGGAAGTAGTAGTCACAGAGAAAACTGGAAAGAATTTCTCACTGAAAGATGAAAGGGAAATTAAAGGAAGTGAGAGAGAGAGAGAGAGAGAGAGATAGAAACACACAGAGATATTTATATACAAAGAGAGAAACACAGATTTATATATATATATATATATATATATATATATATATATATATATATATACAAAACAACCTCTCTCTCTCTCTCTCTATATATATATATATATATATATATATATATAGAGAGAGAGAGAGAGACAGACAGAGAGAGAAGGCGCAGACAGAGGGAGAAGGCGCAGACAGAGGGAGAAGGCGCAGACAGAGGAGAAGGCGCAGACAGAGGGAGAGAGAAGAAGGACAGACAGAGGGAGAGAGGAGAGAAGACAGACAGACAGAGGGAGAGAGAGAAGGCGCAGACAGAGGGAGAGAGAGAAGGCGCAGACAGAGGGAGAGAGAGAAGGCGCAGACAGAGAAAGGAAGAGAAAGAAGGCGCAGACAGAGAGAGAGAGAGTACAGAGAAACAGTGTGTGAGAATATAAAGAAAGAAAATAAAACCTTTACAAAATAGAAAAAAATGAATTTAAGAAAATATTTTTTGAAGTAATCATCAAAATTATAATTATAAAAATATATACACACATACACACACACGCATGCATGCATGTGTGTGTTTGTGATCCAAAGTCTACATGCCTGGGCTGTATGAGAGTGTAGTCAAGAATTCTCTAAGTTTTTTTTTTCTTAATGCCTTGAAATAGAGAAAACACACGAATGAGCAGTAACATTCCTTTATTGTTTAGAGAAAAAAAAATGAAAACGACAAAAAAAAAAAAAAAAAGAAAAAAAAGAGAAAAGTAAAAACTGATTGTCTTTCACTTCAAGCACTATCAAAGTTTCGTTTTTTTTCTTTTTCTATTTCACTCCAGTTGAAAAATGATGTGTCAGAAGAACTAAAACTCATACACACAAAACATTTATAGTTAAGCAGAGGATTAAAGTCTCTACAAATTATATTCACATTTACATTCTATACTTTTTTTTTTTAAAAAATGAAAGTTTGAATTTTGGAGAACCAATATTTTGTTTCTTGAACTTTTAATATACAATTTTCTTCTTTTACAGTTTTCTTCTTCTTTTATGTGCCAGGACCCTTCAGGACATTGGCAATCATGGTTCTCCACAACTTCATGCCTTTTGCAGTTCTTAGTAATTGACTTTTTGCTATCTCTCCTAAATCCTGTTCTGCCATCCATTTATGCAAAGGTCAGTTATGTGCAATCTTCCTCTGTCTCTCTTGCCTTCAAAATGTATTGTGAGTGTCAAATTTTCCAGGCCCTCTTTCTTGATCATGTGTCCCAGGAATTTTAACTCTTTCTCTTACTAAAACCTTCTCATTCTCTTTCACTCCTTGTAACTCCTTGTGTCCTAGTGGCATTATCGCCTTGCTTGAGGTGAAATAATAAAAAAAAAAATTAAACTTAAAAATCACAAAAATCTAAAGAAAATATTTTGTATAATAATGTGAAGAATTCATATGAATAAAATATTGTCAAAAACGCAGTAAACTTTTGCATCGACCTATAGGTTAGTGGGGGTATGCACGTGTGTGAGTCATTACTAGTTATAAGACATTTTTACTAGTAGTGAGTGTGGAAAAGAATGTGCCCCAGTTGATAGAATAAAATGTCATATGTAAGCTCAAAATATTTCTGTAACTCTTACTGCAAGAGGCAGCCCCTAACATTGCCAAATCTGCAGAAAAGTGTGTAAATCCCTAGCAGGACTGAAAGGCTATATCTATACTGCCCATACTTGAGAAGAAATATAATGATGGATCGTGTGTGTGTGTGTGTGTGTGTGTGTGTGTGTGTGTGTGTGTGTATATATATATATATATATATATATATATATATATATATATAAATAAAACACACATACACGTGTGTGTGAGTTTATGTAACTTCTAGATAGGCATGTCCTTACCTGTAATATTTGCAAGAAATCTTACTAGAGTAAGGCAAAAAAACTGAGTCATATGTGAAGTCATTGTACCAGAGCCCCAATCAACTAATTATAAAATTGTATAAAGTACTGTGAATTCATGTTACAATTGTGGAAAAGTTTGCAAGTCAGCTAGTGTGTTGAAAAGACAGACAGTCATTAATCACAAGAAAATCTCTGCATCTCAAGCCTGCCAAATTGTTGCCAGAGGTTTTAAAAGTTTGTCCAGTTTAAAGAACCATATCCATTCAAAGTGCAACTAGGTCATACAACAATATCTTGTGATGCTCTCACACTGGACAACAAGGTGCTAGCAATCATATATGCTATGTAAAAAGAGTAATTTGAACATAGAGATCAATCTGGTCACTGCCCTTGGTGAAGCATCCTGTATAACTAACCATTTTCATTATAAGAAAACATTTAATATTCATTGACTGAACAGCCAGTGCTGCTTTAGGTTGAGATTTATAAAACCCTTTTCAGGAAAATAAATTTCTCAAGCCCAGTAGCTGTTATCACTCTTTCATTTCCCTCAAGCAAGAGGATAAAGCCACTATGAAACAAAGAGAGATAAAGCACACATGGCCTGAAGATTGCATTTGAGCATGAAAGACTGCTGCCATTGCATGTTGATTCCAATGTCCACTTTTATATATATATATATATATATATATATATATATAAAATAAATACTGTCATGAAGATATATTTGTTTGTACTTATAGAATTAAGGATAACTTAAAAGAAAAAACAAAACAAAAATGCAGACTATATAATTTATCATTGTCACTGACAAGTATCAGACATTTATTTCTAACATCACAAAACTTAATTACCACTAACAAAATAACAGATGTAACAATAAAATAGTTTTTTTTTTTTAAGTGTGTGCGCCTGTGTGTGGGGGATTGGTACCAAAATCCAAAACACAATGAATACCATAATAGTACTTTTGAAGAAAAGTCATAATACCACCAACCCCCACACCCTGTTTGGAAACTTGGTATTTTTGCGCACATACATCTCGTGTCTATTTTAGTAAGACACTACACATATTTTTAATTGGTTTATCAGTTGTATCCTCATTTTCAATATACCTGTGTTATGTGGGGGGGTCCTGCAGCTGGTGTACTTGGAACAACTCTTTGTGCAAATAAACTCATATCCAGGGAGAGAACCAAGTAAGGTACTGCACCCATGGCTAGTGAATTTGGTCCTGAAATTTCAGTAAATACCTGAGGATGAAAATGGTAGTACTAAATGCCATTTCACCTATTTTGATTAGGTACCTGTGTACCAGTTTTCTGCTACTCACTTAAATTTTATTATTTTGATCAAGTTCTTGGATTTGGGGAATCTAGTACTGCTATTTTTTTTTTTTTGAAGTACAGCTCTAGTTTTCTACCAACAGGGTAGCCACTGAAATATATGATTCTACCTCCCACATTATGGTGTCACCTTTCCTTTCACCTACACTTTTCCACAAGGAAAGCCATACCTTTATTTGTTTAGATTGAATTTTTTTTTTCTTTTATTTTGGCAAGCAACAAAAATTAAAAACATGGAAAATTTTAGTACATATACCGAAATACTTTCAAAATTTTAGTATGTGATACTAAACTTCCTAAAGACACAAATTTTGGTACTACCCCTACCCAGCACTTTTAAGCTGATTTCATCTTGCCCCAAACCAGATATCTATAAATAAACACAGATACAGTCCCATCTTTCCAAGCTCTCCCCTCGCCACACGATAATTCTTCAAAATCCTTAGCATATGAGACAGGATAAAGAATGTGGAGGATTTAACCATCCCTTCCTACTTAATTTGTTGTAAGCTACAAGTTTTGTTAACCTGCTCCCATCTGGTGTAAGTGGGAAGGTAAGATAGTTAAAAAAAAAAAAAAAAAAATCAAGAGTTGATTATTCCTTACAATATCAGTAATGTTAAAATGCCATGATTTTTCCCTCCTTTCTGTACTTAGGGAAAATAAATTCCTGTACCCTAAAAAAAAAAAAAAAAAAAATCCCTTTAGCCCTAACAATTTTTTCTTTGTTTAACAGGGAAAGAAAATTAAGACCTTTTAGTTAAAGTTTAAGCAATGTACTTTTATTCCTGAGATGCAAACAAGAACTAAACTTGATCAAAATTCTTCAAGTCTTGAGAGCCACTCAAAGTAGAGGATTACTATTAAACAGTTATGATGAAGGAGGTGTATGATACGAATGAAAGAGAAAGTCTTAAGAGAGTTTAAGGAGGATAGAAAATGACTGATCCTTGATTTAAAGAGGTTAAGAGAGTCGTGTTAAAGGAAACACCCACACAGGAGTCTGTACAAAATTCTTGATAAAATGGTAATCAAGTGGAACTTTCTTATTACATTAGGAAAACAGAGAAAATAAAGGTGAATCAACTCTGTGGACATAGTATGGTGTATCCTAGCTGTAAAGGTCTGAACTAGTGGAACTAAAGAGTGAAGCTCATCTGAAAATCAGCCATGGAAATAGCAATGGAGTCACAACAGGATTGCAATATTGTGACTGTGGGAAAGAAAATGGGGGGAAAAAAAAACCCCTTTAGTCCTCTGTTAGCTGTAAAGGTCTGAATTGATGGAACTAAAGAGTAGAGCTCATCTGAATAGGAAAATTAGCCATGAAAATAGCAATAGAGTATCGATCAGAATTGTGATGCTGTGTCTGTGAGAAAGTGGCTGCAAGAGTGGAGAATAAGTGTCCCTGCTGCCCGTAAGACCATGTAAATGATTTAAAACTATCAACATTGGAAAGTGCCCAATTTACTAGTGATATAACTTTGATCTTTATGCCAAACAAAACAGGACATCCCAAAATAACACTAACATATGTACAGGAGCATTTATAAAATTTTTTAGTTACGAGTTTCAATGATATCTATAGAAGATACAAATAGTTTATTAGGGCAGCAATTCTTTTTTAATACATGTTTTGTTAAATGAGACTGACAAGGTCATTTTTTTAAAGATTTTTATTTATTTTTGCATGTGAACAAGTATTTTCTTTTTTGGATTTAATGTTGCATGTGTAGAAATTGGCCAAATGTTTGTCAATTCCAAGTGCTTTTTGGTTAATCTATTAGCTATTTCCAATAACCCTAGTTATGCTACTATAATAGTGTGTAAGTATTATACTTTGGTGTTCAGAAGTTAAGAATATATCTACTTTTCAGTAGCTTTTAGACTGTCTACAATAACACTTATACACCATTTATTATAGAATTACAAAGAAAAAAAAATGCAGAAAATTTCAGATCAAAATTCAGCTAGAGCCTTGTGCCTATCGATACACTCTGGTTTTATGATACATTTAAATGCAAAAAAAAAGTTGTTACCAAAATGCATTGCAAATGATTGTATTATAAAAATGAGCGATAATTGAAAAAATACTCTTGCAATATCACATCTTATAGATTGGTAAAATTGGTATGACAAATGGAATGCCACTTATTACAAGTTGCATGACAGAGAAGGCAATGTTTTTGGTATTCCTGCCCCATTCATGACCATTCTGATAAA